CCGAGCGCCGAGAGCGCCGCCGCCGCCGCCTTTCCGGGCTGATGGAGCCGGCCATCCTTCGGGCTCCGGCCGCGGCCCCTTCTGCCTCCTAGGACGGGCGCCGGGCGAGAGAGGCCGGGACGGAGGGAGGGACTGTGTGGGTCGTTGCCCTCGCCGCCGCCGCCGCCGGTGTTCCTCCTCCGCCTCAGCCATGTATTTCCTCAGCGGGTGGCCCAAGAGGCTGCTGTGCCCCGTGGAGGCTCAGGAGCCCCCGCTCCGAATCGAGGCGGACCCGCACCGGACTTTGTTCGCCGTGTTGTCCCTGTCTCAGCTCTCCATCTGGTACAACCGGGTAAGTAGGGCTCCCTCGCGGGGACGGGCCTCCCCTCCTCTCCCCCCCCCCTTTCTTTACGGCTCGAATCTCTTTTGAGATAAGGCTCCCCCCTTTTTTGGGGGGGAGGGGGAAGGAAGGTGAGGATATCGTTTCCTTTGGCCTAATTGGGATCGGTGAGGTGAGAGGCTCGCCGTTTAGCGGGTTCGAACTCCCGAACTCGGAGGCTGAGTTTTGAGTCCCGGGTCGTGTCGTGGCTTCTGGGGTTGATTCAGGCCACCTGTTCCCTTTCTCGCTTTTCTCCTTTCGCTTCCCAACAAACCCAGCTGGGAAGAGCTGGCCTACCTGGCGGTGGGGCTTTTTGGATGAATCGCCCCGTGATTAAGGGACGGAGAATGGCCCCGAAGCCCGCTGGTGGCGAAAGAGCGTGTTTTGGCGGGGCTGGATCTCGGTTCCGAAGTGTTGGGAAGAGTTCCTTCCCTTTAAAAAGGAGGGCAGCTTGTCAACAGCTACTTAAGTGTCATCATGATCACTTCAGGCTTCCCAGAGTCAGACTGGTTTTGAGGTGTTCCTCGCTTACATAAGTAGCTCCGAGAATATAAAGTGATGGTTATTTAAATGGACACTGCCCTGCAGGATTTTCACGATTTTTTTTTGGTTTGTTTTATCCTCTGGTAGTCTAAACAGTTTAAGCTGAAATCCACTTGTCTCTTTCATTTCTGTTTTCTTTTAGTCGATAATATTGGCATTTTGGATCTTCTTTTTCCGTTCTGTCTTCTACCCTGACTTGCAACTGACTATTTCCAACTGTCTATTTAACAGAAGCAACAGTATATTGTTTTTCTCCATAACCTTCCTCCCCAAAAGTTGATCAGCCATTAACTTGGCAAGAGGACAGATGCTTTTCATGAATATTCACTTTGGGGAGGTGAGGAAATAATGAATCATTTAGGCCAAACACCTGAAATTTCTATGAATGTAGTTCCATACATTCCTGATACTGTAATTTGTGGATACTTGAATCCACTTAGGCAAACAGGAGAGGGAGATGTCACACACAGTTATATTTAGGAGCAACTGAATAGCATTTATTAGTCTGAAAGAAACAGAGTCTGTAAGAATTTTACACAAGAAGACTGGGTTTTAACCACAGTTAAACAATGGACAGTTCAGTTATCAGTAGTTACCAGTTTCACCTTCGGAAATTCATGGCCTAATACAGCAGCTGTTGTGGTTTAAAATGCTACAGTGCAATAGAGGGATTTTTTTAAATTATAGCATTAAAGGTTAGCCTATCTCCTACCAATTTGGATTGTGTTCTAGTATCCAGTACATCTAATTTTATTGTTGAAACATAGATTTCTTTTTGAAAAGAGCAGGAAAGCAAGCTTCACAGTCTTGAGATGTAAGTTTACAGGGACAGGCTGTGACTTGCAGTACTAGTTGAATGTTTGCCAGCCTTTGAAATGTAGACCTGGATGAATCTCCTTTTCTCTCTGTTATGCTGTCCCATTTCAGATCTCTGACTTTAAATAAATTTATGAACAGCAACTTAATGCCGATCATTTCCAGTAGCATTATCCCTATGAAGTGAGTTTTCAAAATGGCTTTAGTTGCTTCATATTACCCAGAGAGGAAGAATGAAATAAATCCAAGGAAGATGCAAAATATGAAGTTAGTTAAAAGCAAAAGCTACTTATATATTGCCCCATAGTACTGTACTTAAACCACTCCCTGGGTGGTTTACAAGTTAATTATGCAGGCTACACATTACCCCCCTCCGCCCCCATGAACTGGGTACTTATTTTATTGACTTTGGAAAGATGGAAGGCTGAGTTACCCTTGAGCCAGTTACCTGGGGCGAACCCCAGGTTGTGAGCAGAGTTTGGCTCTAGTACAGCAGTTTGACCACTCTGCGGGGAGGCTCTTAAGTACTTTCCCTGCTAGAGAAGCAGGTTTAGGGCCTTTTGGGGGGGGAGGGGGGAGGCTTTATGCAGGCATGACAAAGAGTTACAAAGTTGTAGCATTTTGAATCTAAATTCCATTTTGCTTTGTTGGCATCCTACCTGAGTTAAGGGTATTACTTCCAGCCCTATTTTTCACTGTTTACCTTAAGCCCAAGGTTTATACCAAGTTTGCTGATATAGACCTCCAAAGAGCTTAAAAGTTTTATTTGTAATTTTGATTCGACCCATAATTGTATTGCCCAATCTTGGACTTCCATCCTGTGAATGGATCACATAGCTATTCATTATATTAGCAATCTAATATCTTAAATTTCTCAAAGACTTATGTGCAAGATATTTTCAGTAGAATGTCACACAGCAGAGTATAGTATGAAGGAAACTGTAGCTCAGTGTCAGAAGGCAAGCACTGAATTCTTGCAGTTCACAACTTAATTGTCAGTTCTCCAGTTCTGAAACTTCCAAGAACCAGGACAGGAAGAACTTCTATAGATCTTGGGAAGCCATTGTCTTTTAAACTGAGATTAGTTAGCTATATGGCCATGACACAAAAACAGTAGCTGTAGTTTTGAGCACTCCTTGAGTTGTACCCACTTGATGTCATTTCAGTGATGGAAAGTTCTTTGGTCTAGGGAAACAAGGAAGGAGGTGATTTCTTGTAATTTCTCTTCCCCTTTGCAAATCCTCTGCAGCCCTCCTAAATAAGCCCTGGAGGATTGGAAAGCTGTTTGAGATGGGAAGTAATTGAATTAATCTTCTTTTCTTTGAAGACTCCACCAGACCAAAATAGTGCATTTGGTCTCTGCCAGACTAAAAGAGACTGTGTATGCTTCATGCAAGCAAATCTTCATACATATACTGTAATCTAGTTTAAGATTTCAACCCATTTCTATTATAATACGTAAAGTCTACCAATTCTTGAGTGTCTATACACATTGCCTAAATACTGTAGTTCTTCATGTCTTCATACTATCCTCCAGTTTGTTAAAGAGTGTAATGTCCTCTTTTAATTATTGGAACAAACAATGCAGGTCTACTAAGCACAAATTAAAACTTTTGGAAGATTTGAAGTCTCATGAAAGAAGTCATTTCTTTTCTGTTTCCTTCAAAAAGAAAGAAAGAAACATATATGGTGGATAGAAATATGTGCATTTTTGTAGAAATGTAAACTTGTTTTGCTGCTTCATCAACATGAAATATCTTGTAACTCGGGTAGCACATGAAATTATGCAGCTTGACATGTACATAAGATAAAAATGTGAAAGCCTTAAATTGGTAAAAAATGAAATTGTGAATACATCTGTTAAACAGAAACAGCTGCAGCTATTATCTATGCACATTTATCTTTTCCTATCTGAGAACGAGGACAAAATTAATACAGGAGTCACACATTTTAATTTAAAAATCGATTTTGTCTAGAGTGTCCCTTCCCCCCTGAATTTCTCCATTTTTGCATCTGGGTCTAATGAGAAGAGAAAAGATGATGATGTTACAGTGACAGTAGCAGCCAAGTACTGTAGGTATAATGTGGCTTTCTGATTGCATGCAAGATCTTGTAAGTTTGTGAGTAAGACATGACTTCAGCATTTCTGGTGTGTATTTAAATTCTTTTAGTTGGCACTTGCTAATAATGTGATTAGCTTAAGTCATCACACAATTTTTATAGGTACAGTAGTCAGTAATTGCTGATAAGCCTGTTACAGTTTTGCTGCTACCTCTGTGTATTTAGCAACTCAACTTTTCCACTCATTAACAATGTATATTTAATTTGCTATGCAATTAGTGACATAGAAGATGGCTCAGAGTGGGGAAGCTTGCTGTCTGCTCTCCAGGGTTCACTTTATGTGCAGCAACCACCCAACAGGAATATTGCAGATAAAACAGCATGTTGTGTTGGGCAAAAGGAACCGAACCTTACAGCTCAGCTGTCCTTTTCTTTCAAACCTTGAGAAACTGGTTAACTCTGTGAGTTGAACTAAGGTGCCCAGTTTGGGATCACTGGGATAACCTTCAAGTATATGGGGATGTGTGCCAGCATTTTCACTGATGTTTTGTGCAAAACAGAAAAACGTTGGTGTCCTATTGGTTTGTGCCACAGTGTTGTCAACATGGGGAGGGGGATTAGTGGGCAAGTGTGGAACTGATTTCTACCTTGCATTCTTGCTAACAACTTTTCAGAAAATAATGTCAATTGTGCACATGTGGATTCTTTAGAATGTTGCTCGTACAGCTGCTTGAATTTCACTGTTCTTCATAGAATGCTAACTTCAGAGCCTGGTTTTATGAAACATAATGACTTCAAACAAATGTGTTTATTTTCTGGCTCTTCTCTTAAAGAAATTATTTTATAAGTTTTAAATGCCTTTGGCAAAGCTTACAAGTTTTGGCAGATCAGCGTTGTGTTTGTCTAACCTCTGAGTGTAAGAAGGTAAGATCAAATTAGTGCACAAGTTTAATATTCAGGAAATCTGAAAGGGCTTCAGCTAGCATGAGGGTAGTTCTTTTGTATTTTTAGGACTTCTAGTTTCTGAATTCACCCAGAACCTCCCAGGCAGAATTCTTCCATGATTTCCCTGTGCTGCTTCTGTTGGGTTTTGGTTATAATACATTTTATTTACTGTATAGATATTATAAATAATGTATGACAGACATTCATTGGTAAATAGTTTTCACTTTGTAATATTGTTACATTCATAATATTATTTAGGCCTGGTAAATATTATCCTACTACATTTATATTTCAGTCCAAGTGTCTGAGGTACATATTGTCAGCCCTATCCGTCCCTATTACTATCATTCTATATATTGTATGGGTCCCTAACTGACACCTGGCTGACACTGCCTTTTATAGCAGCCTGGCTACCACAGATACAGTCTGAATGGTTAAATACATTCTATGCAGATACCACAATCTGTGTTGCACAAACATCAGCATCTTCTTCAAACCACCAGAACCACCACCATCCCCACGCTGTGGGAGTGTCAGGGTTTCTGTGCAAACAGTGAAGGTACATGAGAGAGGTAGTTCCATTGGAGGCTGCCTCTATACTGTACAGCCTAATGGGCATCAGGACTTGGCCTCTTATGCACCTTTACAAGTCTTACAGAGTCCAGTGTCTTGGGATCCCCACAGTGCAATGGGTGGTTTTGCAGTTCAGAGCAGAAGGTGGGAAGGGCTGGTCTAACCCGATTTAATTTTGAGGCTTTTACTCTCAGAATTCAGCTTGGGGTGGGATTCTGGGTGAATTCTGGGACTGGAAGATGAAAGTCCCATCCCTAGTGGGTATAACATACTGTATTGGCTTGCAAGTGTAGAAAATATTGGAGCAAAGATTTTGTAAGCAATCTCTTGCATAAACTGCAAGAAGAAATTAGCATATTGGACACAACTTGTTAAAGGTTCATTGCACAGAAACAGGTTAATGTTTGCGTTCATTCTTAGTACCAGAATATCTTTCTCCCCCTAAACTGGAGTTTACCAAATTTCAGTTACAGTGGTTTCAATGTAATATTTTAAGTTTTCTTTTGTAGATACAGTATTTTGATATAGTTTTGTACCTCCACCAAATGTTATTAATTTGCTCTAGTTCATTTGTAAAACTGCTAGAGCAGCGGTCCCCAACCTTTTTGGGACCGCGGACTGGCTGAGCCTCCAAGGAAGGTGGGAGCCCCCCCGCAGGTGTGCGCACGCTCTCGGGCACATGCGCAAAGTGGTGGGGGAGTGCCCGACTACCGGTGCTGGCATGAGCGCTCCCCCACCCCTTTGCGCATGCGCAGGGGTGCCTGCATGCCCGCCCACTCGCGTGCCCACCCATCCCTTCACATGGGCATTCAGGCACTCAGGCGCATGTGTGAAGGGGTGGGGAGCACTCATGCTGGTGCTGGCACGAGTGCAAAGCAGCTGTGTGTGTGCGTGCATGCATGCCTATGGGGTGGCGGGAGGTATGCTTTCGCGGCCTGGTCCGGCTCAGGTCATGGATTGGCACCCAGCTGCGGACCGGGGTTTGAGAACCTCTGTGCTAGAGTGATGTGGAAGTATGTGGATTGCTTGAGAGTTATAAAGAATATACAGTGGTGCCTCGCTTAGCGATTGCTTCATTTAACAATGTATTCGTTTAGCGATGAGGTTTTAGGAGCGATCTTGCATTCCGTTTAGCGATGTTCCCAGTGGGGGAATTTCGGATAGCGATGTTTGGGACCATGCCTCGCATAGCGATGACAGTTTGGGTCCCCCTGTTTCGCTTAGCAATGTCCGTTTTCGCTATTTTTAAAGTGTCTTAAAATGTTCAAAAACTGTTTAAAATGCTTGGAGTCGTTAGTGCACCTTGTAAAACCTTTGCAAACTAATTTAGCTTTGTTCTGAGTCTTTGTTAATTTTTGGTGAATTTTTCCCCCCATTGGAATGCATTGACAGCTGTCAAACCTACAGTTCAATGCATTTCAATGGGGGGAGAAAAAATTCACCAAAAATTAAGGAAGACTCAGAACAAAGCCAAATTAAGTTTGCAAAGGTTTTAAAGGGTGCACTAACGATTCCAAGCATTTAAAACAGTTTTTGAACATTTTAAGACACTTTAAAAATAGCGAAAACGGACCTGTCAGAACCATTGAAATGCACTGAAACCTATTCAATGCATTCCAATGGGGGAACCGCGTTTCGCTTAGCGATGTTTCCTATGGCGATTTTCGCTTAAGGACAGTAATCCATTCTCATTGGAACGGATTATCCGGTTTTCAATGCATTCCTATGGGAAATAGTGTTTCGCTTAGCGATGTTTTCCCATAGCGATGTTTTTTTTTGGAACCAATTAACATCGCTAAGCGAGGCACCACTGCAGTAGATATAGTAAGAAAAACAGTCTGTGCCACCTTAAAGAGGAGCAGTTTGTTAACTACAACCATTGTATGGGATGATAGTCCATGAAAGCTTATGTTATTGATATAAATCTGTTTTTAAAGTATAATGAGTCTCTTCTTTTTGCTGCAGATTATTAACATACCAGTGCCGAGGTGGACTATTTTGTTAGTGCTGTTTTGTACTGCTGTTGTTGCATGAGTAGAACAGATATACATAACTTTGAAAGCATGTATGCTGTGGTAGGCAGACATGCACATGAGTAAATAAAAAGTGCATTAAACAATGAGAGCAATTCTGGTATTCATTCATTCATTTATTAAATTTCTTTATCTCAGCATCTAGTCTCATGCCATTACTCTGGGCGGTTTGAAACAAAAGCGTAAGCATAAAGAAAACATCCATTCCTCCACCCACCCTCCAATAATATTAAACAAGCAACTCACAAATATCACAAGATGGCAGCCATGGGCAAATACAATAAACATAGAAAAATGGATGAAATCATACAGAAACATTTACAAACGAAGGATGTCCTGAAACAATATGATCACAATGTAGTAATGGTAATATAAAATAGATTTCTTGCATGGTTTTATGGAGTGCAGCTTCATTTTCAGATAGAAACTTGCTCTTGAGGCTCCATTAAAAATTATAACAGAAGATTTCAACTTCCTGGGTAAGGAAACATACAAAAGATGTTTCTCTCATTTGGAATACTTCTCTTAGCCCTACTCTTGACTTCGATATCTTTCCCTGTTTGCCCCTTTTCATGTAGTTGCAACACATAAATTATTGTGTCCCATTATACAGAATACAATCAAGAGATAATTGACACCAGTAGTATAATCCTGATGAAGTCAGTACAGCTTTATCTCAGTTAGCTATTCATACGTTTGCAGCAGATTTCTGGTACTTTAAATATCTGGTGAAAGCATGTGCTTTAAAAATGTGTGTTTTTCCTTTACCAGGCGCATGTGTAATCCACCTTGCTTCCTTTTAAGGAGAAAGGTGGGGTAAAAATATTTTAAGTAAATAATAACTCATTTCTATGAATAAATGAATAAATTCCTTTTTTGAAAGCATACTACATTCTTGTGTCACACAGGTTTCTGTAACCTCCTTAGAGTGTTGTAACTGTGGAAATAGTATCCAGTTGACTTAATGTTTTTGCACAAATAACGGAATTTAATTGTGTATTCTTCTTTTCTTCTTCCTAGCCCAGTGTCTTAATTGTAAGCTATAAAGAATCACAAAAAGCAGCATTGCAATTTGGACACTATGCCCAATCCAAATGGAAGCCTGACAGCACCATGATAGCTATTTCGGTGAGTAAAGAAGCTTCTGTGACAGCATTTTTATGATGCTATGTAGATACACTGAACTGCCGGATAGCTCAGGTAGAGATGAGCATGAAGCACTTCATGCCAAGTCATCCTGAGTCATTGGCGTGGCACCACAGGTGCCACACATTCCCTGCTCCTATCCCCCTTGCTGGCACTTCCAGTCACCAGCTGGTGTGCTTTGCTCCTTCCCTCTCCATTGCATGATCTTCAAGTCTCAGCAGGAGCAGGGGTTTCCCTTCTGTCCCTGTCTGAGTAGGCAGCTGCTGGAGAAGACGGAGAAGGGAAAGTTCGTGCTCCTGCTGGACTGGAAGATTGTGCGAGGGGAAGGGAAAGGGCAACACATGCTGGTGAGGGGGATGGGTCAGGGAACAAGCGGCGCCTGTGGTGCTGTGCCAACGACTTAGGATGACTTGGAATGAAGTGCTTCATGCCCATCTCTGCTCGGGGGTTTAGGTCTCTGGCTGTCGAGCCAGAGGTTGGGAGTATGATTTCCCAGTGGGCCTGCTTGATGGGCTGGACTTGATGACTCATAGGATCCTTTCCATCTCTGCAGTTTGAGGATTATTATTATTATTATTGCACACGTCAGTTAATAATAAATCTGATTTACCTTATAGACTTGTTGTGAATATCACTGAATCAAAGGTTCAGGTTTTGAATGGTCAAAAAAAGCAAGTATTTACTACTGTCATCTGCAGCAGACAAAGCAGTGACTCAGCATGACATGCTCGGTTAGCCAGGTTGAGAGTTCAATCGCATTTGGTTTCTTGTTTCTCAGACTGTCATCATGCAGCTAATACAGCCATGTACAGATGGGTTAAATGCAAGGCCCTCGCCTGCCGCTCCATTTGGCACCTCTCCATTTAGGCTAGTTCTTAAAAGACTTTTAATAACTAGTCTCTGTGCTTGCTTGTTTTCTTCTTCCTTTCATATCTATTTTCCTGTTGTGTCATTTTTACAGGATAGGGGCTGTCTGATTCTTAATATGTGTACAGCACTTAATAATTAATGATATAATTATATGATGTCAGAATAGTGATTAAAGTTGTGGAAATCATCTAGCATTATATAATGAGAAGATGTTTACAAGAAAACTAGTATGTAACTTCTTTCTGAGAGTAGCACATTAGATGTAGTTTCTCTTTGCATTATGGAATTGTACAGGAACTAATATAAGAAAAGAGAAGTTATAAAATGCTACTCTCATTGCTTTTCTTTATTTATGAATTTTTTAAAATGTATTTTAGAAAAATGATGTAATCTAAAGATGGGCACAAACTGCTCAACTGGTGGTTCGTGTTGGTTCATGCTTCATCCGAACAAGTGTTCAGTGCTTCCCGGCCCTGCCTCCTCTGATGGGTGCCCACTCAAGAGGCAGCATCCTGGCTTCCCTGCCCAGCCTCCTCTGGGCGCTGTCTCTGAATGGGTGCCTGTCTCAGGAGGTGGGATTGGGAAGTGCCAAATACCTGTTCAGACAATGTATGAATCAGCACAAACTGCTGGTTCAGTGGTTCATGCCCATCTCCAATATAATATATAGAGAATGAGCAAAAAGGCATGAATCTGTAATGACTAGTTAGATGTGAGCATGGAAGCAGATGTCTATCCACACAACCTCTGACACTTGCATTAATGAGTATTGCAGCTGAAATCTTTTATGTTAAGAAGACATGTATTTTGGACTATTTAAAGTTGTTTGTTACAAATATAATTAGAGAAGAGCTATATAAGGTGTGGTTCTTAAATATAAAACTCGTTGCTGCCCAGGAAGTCTTTAAGTAAATCTTCAGAGATTCATAAGGCATGGGTGAAGTACAGAGAAAGATATGCATGTGCATTTTAAAGCACTTCTGAGCAACCAGTGAATTTTGTGGCCTTTGAGTGCCCTCATGAGATTGCACATTGCCTTGTCTAGTTGATTGCTGCTGGGAACAGCTGAAGAGAACAGCTTGGGAACTGTTCTCTTGGGAAGTGCATCCAGGGTTTTTAAAAAATTATACCATAAAGAAATTCTGATAATAAACTTGATAGAAAAATTTTGCCCTTTTCAGTTTAAATTTCAGCCTGTTGGCTGGTGGTGCGAAGTTTGCTTAAGATAAAAAAAATTGCCTTTCATTACTATTCAGTTAATCTAAACAATCCACAATGTAAAATTGTTTTCCTTATGTCCTGTGCCTTTAGGAGCATACCAACATCACACTCAGATTTTTCCGCAGTTTACTGTTAAGATATGAGGTAGAAAGCTGGCTCAGTGAATTAGATATCTGGCTGCAGAGGCTGAGTATTTGGTTCCCCACTGTACCTAGCAGGGGAGAGAACCAGCCTATGTAACCTTGGGCAAGCTGCATCATCTCAGGACCTCCAGAAGAAGGGCATGGTAAACCACTTCTGAGTACTCTCTCCCTAAAAAACTTGGAAGGGGTCACCATAAGTCTGAATTGATTTGATAGCACATTCTTATTATCTGTATGAAGCATTTCTGATCTAATAATTAGGAATCCCTATCAGCAACTCTTCTAAGACTTAGGAGATGTACAGAGGTGCCTTGGAAAATACATTGTTGACTAGTTCTGAATTATCGGATAAATGCGTATCCTTTTTTGTCTCCTGTTTTTGTTAACACACCCTTTTTGCATTCATGCTGGCTGTTACCAGGAACGGCACACTTCCTGTACATTGTTTCAGTTGCAGAAGTTTTAGTTCAGCAGAAAAAAAAACAAAGTTAGTCTCATGACAAGTCTCATTCAACCAGCTGCTTTTGTGTTTCTTAAGATTTGACTAAATATGCATGTTCAAATATGTGAAGAATTCACACATCATGAATAGTTTCAGTTTACTCAGATATGTCCCTCCTAACCCAGTGCAGACTTAAATGTGTTCCTTAAGCATTCAGAGTAGTATATTTATGATTGTTTGTATGTTTCTTAAGATTTGACTAAATATGCATGTTCAAATATGTGAAGAATTCACACATCATGAATAGTTTCAGTTTACTGAGATATGTCCCTCCTAACCCAGTGCAGACTTAAATGTGTTCCTTAAGCATTCAGAGTAGTATATTTATGATTGTTTGTATTGTTGTTTAGTCGTTAAGTTGTGTGTGACTCTTCGTGACCCCATGGACCAGAGCTCACCAGGTCCTCCTGTCTTCCACTGCCTCCCAGACTTTGATGAAATTCATGTTGGTAGCTTTGATGACACTGTCCTACCATCTCATCCTCTGTCGTCCCCTTCTCCTCTTGCCTTCACACTTTCCCAACATCACAGTCTTTTCCAGGGAGTCTTCTCTTCTCATCAGATGGCCAAAGTATTGGAGCCTCAATTTCAGGATCTATCTTTCCAGTGAGTACTCAGGGTTGATTCCCTTTAGAATGGATAGGTTTGTTCTCTTGGTAGTCCAGGGGACTCTCAAGAGTCTCCTCCAGTACCACAATTCAAAAGCATCAATTCTTTGGTGGTCAGCTCTTTTTATGGTCCAGCTCTCACTTCCATACATCACTACTGGAGAAACCATAGCTTTGACTATGCGGACCTTTGTTGGCAAGGTGAGGTCTGCTTTTTAAGATGCTGTCTAGGTTTGTCGTTGCTTTCCTCCCAAGAAGCAGGGGTCTTTTACCTTCATGGCTGCTGTCACCATCTGCAGTGATCATGGAGCCCAAGAAAGTAAAATCTGTCACTGCCTCCATATCTTTCCCTTCTATTTGCCAGCAGGTGATGGGATCTGTGGCCATGATCTTAGTTTTTTTGATGTTGAACTTCAGACCATTTTTGACACTCTACTCTTTCACTCTCATTAAGAGGTTCTTTAATTCTTCTTCA